TCCAAATGACAAGATTTGTGTAACACTTAGGGATGGGCATGGGACCCGAAGTCGACGGGTTTCGACCCGACCCGATTGGGTCAAATTTTTAAAAAAACTTCGAGGTCGGGTCGGGTTTAGGGTAAAAAATACCTGACCCGACCCGAAAATATATATAATTTTACCTTAGACATTTAAGAATAATTATAATAATATCCCTCTATATATATATTTTCAATTAAGTCACTGTTTTTATTGAATAAAAATAATATTTTTATTATTATTTCGGGTCGAGTAGGGTTTCTAAGTTATATATCGGGTCGGGTCGGGTTCGGGTTGAGTGAAATCTTGTTTTGGTAGGGTTGGTCGGATCGGGTCTCGGGTTGAGGACTCCTTGTTCTCAGGTCGGGTCGGGTGGATCAAAAACCCGACCCATGCCCATCCCTGGTAACACTTAAGAATTTGGAAGGAATGACATCCACCATTTTAATAAAAAATTGCTACCATTTTAATAATATATTATATTTATAAAATATATAAATCTTAATATTATTAATAATTTAATTAAAAACCTAAAAATGTAATATATTATTCTTTCGAGATGCTTACCAACTTTTTGAGTTGGGTATGAAGTATCTCGTTTCAACTCGTTAAGAATTCTAGTTGAGTTTGAGCTCAAGTTGAGTTCAATCAATTCGAGAGTTGGTTGAGCTTTGATCGAGTCGATCTCAAAAAGTTCACGATCTACCACATTTCATTATAGTCAATATCGCAGCTGGTTTATTAGATGTGGGTCTCTTCTCGTGGAAGCATGGGTGGCTGGATGGGGAGTCGAACTTTTGTCTGCTTGTGGGTGGTGCTTGGGCAGCGGGGTATGGCATTTTTGCTTTTTCTAATATTTTTGCAAATTAAAGGAGAGCATGCAGGCTTTGTTCCTCCTTTGCTGCCGCAACATGCCCATGTTATAGGAAACTCCAACTTTATTCCCTCTCAAATTTCAGTGGATTCGTGTAAGTAATGTGAGAAATATTATGTCCATTAAAAATTGAAGAAGTCACAGTGTTTCTGCAATCCTATGTTGTGTTATAGCGGGTTTGGTGCATCAATTTTCTGCTGCTGTTCGGATATATCCTAGTCTTGTGTTTGTTTCAGCTTAGTCTTTGCTGTCCTTTTTGCTCTAATTATCACTGCTGTTTGGGATGTGTTGGTGTTGTATTTGTTGGGTTGTTTTGGGTTATGTCCTGTTTGATGTTTGAGATTTCTTGTGTTTGATCATTTCTACTTCAAGATACACTTTTTTCCTCTATATAGATTAAGAGAGGTTTTTTAACGGATCATTGAGATGGTGTACTTTGTATTTTCTATAATACAAAATACCATATTTCAAAAAAAAAAAAAATCCGATACTATTTGGATCGCGGAGTAGTTAACCGTAAAAAAATATTTTTGTCCTAGTGGTTTCAGTACGGAATTCTACGCCCGCGCAAAATTTGGCTGAACCGCACTGTTTTCAATCCACTCGAATTTCAGTTATTCTTTCAAATAATTTTCCTGCCATTCTTTCGTTTAAAATTCATAGTTACGTAACAACATATTCATTCTTTAAAATGGAAAATGGAAGCTATTGCTTTAAAAATGGTGGAAAATCCTTCCTCCTATCTTTAATCAAGTCGGATACTTTATTTTCTTTCATTGACTTTCACTGCACCTTCATTTCCTGAATTTAAAGAGAACCTTTTCAAATTCCTCTTCGTAATATTGATTTTAGTTTGATCATTAAACATATTCATAATTTATTAATAAATTCTTGTTGCAGTTTTGTTGATGTTGGTTGATTTGCAAGATCAACGGGATTTTCAATGGGATTGTTTCTTCACCGATTAAGCAGGTCTGTTTCTCCATCATGAACCTGCTTTTGTTTGTAATTTTGCATTTTCTGTTCGATTATTCGCTGCTTATCTTTTAATTGTATCCTATAATCAGATTTATTTTTTGGATAAACTTCATCATTAAATTTTAAATTATGTATCGATTTTAGAATTGGAACGATGAATCAGTGACAGTTCGGTGTCAAAAATCGATACACAACCTAAAATTCAAAGACTGGTTTAACTTTTTTTTACATGTATATAACTAATAACTTAATAAACGAAGTTAGTTATATGTATTCAGTAAAATGGAGTAAATATTTAATCAAGAGAGAGAACGTTAAACGAAAATACAAAATGATAAACAGAGCAAATAATAAGTTTTTGGAATATTCGATAACAATGTTTCTGCAGTCGAGGTCTCCGGTTGCATAACATAATCTTCTTTCACTCTGATCTTTGACTCTTGAGAGAACCTGAAAGACTTTATATAGCCCATAGGAAACCTTGATAACAACTGTAAAAAGTTACGAAAAAACACAAAACGATTTAAGATCCAAAAGAAGAGAAAAATGTTATCTGTTGAGGTAACAATGCACCCAATAATTCCAGATAGGTTCAAAATCAATTGGTTTGTTCCTGTGTAAAGTGCAAACTGTTGTAAAAAGATTGTTGGAAGCTCTTGGAATGCAATTGAATAGAGCTGATTTTGTTAGCATAAAACTGAAATCTGTTTAAGCTGTGATTTGGGTTATCATATTCGTATATTAGGTTGAGGACCTTTCCGATAGTCTTTCCATGAATAAAATTTAGAAATATTAGGATTCCTTTCCTTTTAATTCTTTTCTATATTCAGCCTCTCTCGGCCGTTCTTCATTCCATACCATCAATGACACCATTCTCACATGGTATCATTCGCCTAAGATCCTGAAATTGTTTTTCTTCCGTTCTATTCAGATTTCTTATTTTTTGCCCACTCGCCTTTTAGTTTTCAGTTTTCCGGCCTAAAGATCCTGACGTTGCCATTCCATTCTTCAGACATTGCTCCGTATAGTATCATCGCCAACACTCACTAGATCATCAAACCAAACCATATCAGAGTCTCGTTCGTCGATGATACTTCCGTTCGTTGCGGCTATCAAGCTTTTTCGATTTGATCAACATTGACGCTGCTACTCATTTCTGACGGTCTTGTAGTCACTTCTCTCATTGACGATTGGCTTCCACAATTGTAAGTCTCACATTGGCCACTGTTTGTTTACTTTACTACTGATGCACGTTTTCTTGACATTTTCTATTCTCTTCTCAATCGTGATTAGTGCCGTTGCAGTTCCGATAATCAAACGCTATTGCCTCCGCGAATGCCATCGTTAGTATCACCCATGCTAGTTTTTTTTCTTCTGGTGTTCTTTGTTGGTTCATTCTCTCTCCACTACTCAGTTTTTTTTATCAGTCGACGATTCACTGACGGTGCTATTGATTTTGTTGAGAGGTGCTATTGGTTTTGTTGAGATTAATTGTGTTGGTGATAGACAATAGGTTAATCAATTCTACTTTGGTCATTGGATTTCTGCGTTTAGAATTACATTAGAGTAATAATGGAGTTTGAGGTTTAGATTGTTCTTCGTTCACTCTGCTGATGTTGATTTTGTGGTTGGTATTCATGGTTCAATTGCTGAGCAATTATTGAAAAACATAGTTTTAGTACTTTTGTTTGGTTATCAGTTCAATCACAGTTCAAAGATGTTTGTTGAAAATTTTCACTCTGTTTGCTCCTACATAGAATACATGAACTAGAAATCTAGTTTCATGAAGAAAGTTTGGGGAGAGTAATGTAGCTTGACCGCCATTCTTTCCATTAACCAGACGAAATGGTGTTTTCTTACTCAAGATGAGTTTGAGATACATCCGTGAGTTAGTAGCTTAACAGCTTGCTCAAGATGAGCTTCAGATGCATCGGAAAGCTTGAAGCCTAATAGCCTAGCTTTCAAGAAAAAAATGGGTGAATAAATGCTGTTGTGTGGGTAATGAGGAAAAAAAATAAGTTTTGTCAAAGAAGAGGCACACTGATGCAATCACTTGTGGATAACAAATTTGTTTTTCAAGAAAGTTAAGGAGGGAAAAAGTAGGTGAATGTTGAAATGTAATTGAATAGAGCTGATTTTATTATTTTTTTGTTAGATTTATTCAATTTGTTAGCATAAAACTGAAATCTGATTAGAAATATTGAACTGTGATTTGGGCTATATAAGCCATAGTCATGTATTGGGTTGAGGATCTTTTTAATAGTCTTTTTATGAGTGAAAGTTTAGAAATATTAGCATTCCTTTACTTTTATTTCTTTTCTATATTCAGCCGTCTCTCTCGACCGATCTTCATTCCATGCCATCAATGGTACCTTTCTCACACAAGCGACCTAGAAGAGGGGTAGTCTTTTGTTTTTTTTAACATCCCACATGCAAATTGTTAGAACTGGTAATGTTTAGGACCATTCACAAGCTATCCAAAAGGGGTAAGATTAGGTCTCATATGGACTTTGTTTTGGCATAGAAGTAGGATAAGTAATTCCAATTACGAGTTCTGTCAGGAAACACACTGAAGATACTTGATATGAAGTTAGGCGAACATATTGGTTCCCAATGCTCAGTTGGAAATAGAAAAAACGAAAAATCGATGGATCACAGAAAAAAAAAGCCACTTGAAGAGTTCTTAAATCTTAACTTCTTATTCCCCACTTTTTCTGGATTATATTCTACGGACCCACGAGGTGTCGTTAGTTATCAACGTTTGAGGACTTTGGAAATGGCAGTGTATGATTTAAGAGTGTTTGCGGGTCTGCAGTGGAAATAGGATATACTTACTTGGTGAATATCCCAAGGCCACCTTAGATGATTCTCAAAATCACTTTTCTTTCAACACAAAATTATTAGGTTATTTATTACAAAATGAATATAAGCTGCATTGAATGTCAAATTCATGCTTATAACATGGATAAGTGTTAATAGATAACTTGCAAATATTGATAAGCGAATAGAGCTATAAATACTCATATAAAATGGATTTGGATCGGATGATTATCGGGTTTCGTATAAGTGGTACAGAGTAACTAACACGTTACCATTAGGATATGGTAAACTGATATAATTCTCTGCTTCAGTTGCTGCTCCCACTTGGATATGGATAAGGGTACCGGCCAGACTCGATGTCTTTGACATCCCTGACTAGGATCTCATAGTGCTGCTTGACTTCCTCAGCAGACTTTCCACCCACAGCCTTAGCAATATTAATCCAGCGGTCTGGAGTGTCCTGGTCATATTTAGCCAGAGCCTTCTCAAACATTTTGTTTTGCTTAGGTGTCCAGGAGGAGCTAGAGTTACGTGAGGAAGTGAGAGAATTGGATGTCATTTGAAAATCTTAATGCAACAACTGAAAACAAACAAGCTCTGGTGAATGGCAGGATGAAACTTAAAGAAATATCCCTGCGACTGAAATTTAGAGAGACAATGAATAAATTGAAACTTGCAATGATGATGCTAGGAAAAAGATGGGCCTTTTCTCTCAGAGGATTACTTCAAGGGAGGGTGTCTGAGAGATATCATGATAGAAGCTCCTTATAAACTGGAGGAAAAGCTTAGTGGGGTTGAGCAAGTTGGGTGAATATATCCTCCAAAAGGGCAGAGTATAATGTGACCCGTCCCCTTAAGAACCATAAAATGGAGCAGCGCAAGGAACAAGCAGTAAAAGAGAACCAGAATCAGAGGACACTTCTGTTTTTTTTAAACCAAATCGTATTCTTTGATTATATCAGGGGCAAGTGGGATTTGCATTGTTAGTACTAGTCAGTGAAAAAAAATCAGATGTAGATGCTATTAGTTGTACCAAATTCTCTGTTATGTTCTAATGATCAATCAAACAACAAACCATTGATTGCATTATTAACTAAAGTTAATGTAATCTATTTCATTTAGTACGGAAGGGATCATTGGTGATAATTACAACATGAGGTCAATAAGACTGTAGTGCTAGTAGCTTAGAGTTTTTCTTGAAAGGTGCAATAATTTACTTTGATATATATATCCTTTTTGAAAACAAATAAAAGTTTGTGTCTCAAGCACGTGAAGGATTTTCAAGTCTTAGTTGGCCCTTGCTGATGGTTCTATCTGTTGTACAAAAACCAATGTTATCAAAACCGCACCGGCCGGTTCGACCGGTTGAAAAGGGAACCGGTTGTATGTCCAGTCCGATCAACCTCCAAAATCAGTTTTGCAATAAACCGCTAAATAACTGGTAGAATCGGTTGGAAACCGGCAAAACCGGTGTGAACTGACGGTTTAAGTGTTCTCACGGTTCTGTTTTTTTAAATTAAACTAAACGACGCCGTTTGTTATGATTTTTTTCAGCCCCAAATTTATTTTCTGATTTTGCATCTGGGTTAAGCAATTTTCACGAACGTTTGCAAGCGTGAACCTTATCCTTTTAAGCATAATCAATTAATCATTAATCAACTTCTTTCTTGATATTGTGATGTTTAATTTTAGGTTGCTCAAGAAGCCATGTTATGATCCTATTGATTATGAATATATTGATCATGTTGATTTTTGGGTAACTGAAGAAGAAACACCTCATGGGCTTGATATTGATGAGTTTGATAATTTTCTTTATCATGAGAATGCAATTCCAATTGATTAATCATCAAAAACCAATGAAGGTTAGTATTTGCTTGTTTATTTTAGTTATATAATTATATTTATTATTTAATATGTTTTACACTTTTACTTTTAATTGTTAAATATTATTTGAGAATTTAAATTTAACTTTGTATTATTATCATATTACTAGGCGATGAAGATATTGATGCTGTGGACTTTCAAGTTCAAAGTGATGCTATGGAATTTGAGGGAATCAATTTCAATTAATATTATGATGATTAATACTTGTAGCTTTTTAAATAGATTTTAGCCTTTCTTCTCGAATAAGTAAAATGGGAAATTCATACATCCAACATTACGTGATTAAATAAATTTTATAAATTCAAAGATCGAATACACAAATAAATTAAGATAAACGAAATTTAATGAGTTCAAAAGATATATATATATATATATATATATATATATTAATATTGCTTTGAATATTATGTAAAATTTTAAAAAAAATATTATTTTTTATAAATCGGTTTAACCGCGGTTTAACTAGTGAACCGGTACCTTCACCGGTTTAAAATCCGGTCCGATTTTAAAAACATTGACAAAAGCCAACTTGTATGACTCCCTTCGTTGTATTTGGCACTGTTCCATGAGAGTGTGGACTAATACGAGTAAGAACTCCTGCAGAAATATCTGCAACCAATAAAGGCAATTTATCCTTATTTCCTGATTGAGGTAGTGGTATAGCTGTATAATATGGGTAATTTCATTACGCCACCAGATCCCAGAAAGATGGCAATACGTAGTTGTCCTTTTGGATAAGGGGCAATAGGTCTCACTTTGTTATTAATTATCATTTTCCCTCTACTTTTTGCGCTCTCCACCCCCCACCCCCTTTTGGTCTGACTGGGGGTGGGAGAAGTGTACCCAGGATGGGTAACTATCTTTAGAAATCTCTCAATGTGATTTTGACATCCACTTTTGTTTGGACTGAAGCTATGAAATTCAATATGCTTTTCACTTTGTTCCAAATGAAAATTGAAAACCTTGAGGTATCTTCCAAAGTTATGATGAATTTCTTGTGAAGGAAAGACAGTGGTGTTACCTGCTTATTGAACCGAAGAGGGTTCAGTTTTAAGGAAAAGATCAAAAGACATGGAGTTCGAAGCAAACCTAAAGATGCAGGTTGAACTTTGGGCGCTTTCAGTTAATATACAAAGCATTGCTGTTTAATGTGCTAATTAATGGTCTTTCTGTTTGGCTCTCAAGTAAGTGCACAACTTAACTACCCGTTCTGGTTGCACCATAGGGAGCTAAGGCACAATATATGCAGTTATTCTATCTTGAAATTGGGGAAGAAATAGGGCTAAGGACATCAACTGCCACCTGAGTGAGAGCTTCCATGGGAGTTGTCATGCTCATGGTAGCAGTAGAAAATAGGTCCAAAAAACTAGTTAATTGAGTCATATGTACCTTGAAAAAGACTTGATTCCATCTTGGAAATACCATGGTTATTCATATTGGTCAGCGACAACCATCTATTTATAATGTATAAACCACAAATTTCACAGTTTCAGGCTGATCAGCCTTGCAAGTTGTATCTGCTTTAGAAAATGACTTCATTTCTTACTAGCATGTTCTAAGATTTGGGACATTATTGAACCATTCTGCAAGCTTGATCTAGAGAAATCACTCTAGCCTAATTGCATCAAGTTTTGTAACATGTGTCCGTGTCTTTATCTTTTTATTTCCACAGTGAAACGTATCTGCATAAGGATAAAAAGGTGATTATCTGATGTTGGAGAGAAAAATTGTCCCGGTGATGATAAAATAAAGGGTATGAAATAATCTGATGTAAGTAAAACAACCTTAAGCAAGGCTAGGCTGGCAAATGGTATCAAGGGGATGGCTTATCATTTGATGCTTTTGTTTTTAACCGTTTTCACTTCTACGATAAATAGATTCTGACCATTGTTTCTTCCACTTTCTATTATTCCAATCAAGATATTGACTAAATTCTTATTGAAATGTAAATTACCACTTGAAATTTGAGCCATATAGAATCGCAACCAAAGATAATATCTTGGAAGATACCCAGAACCAGGGTTTCAAATAGCGGTCGCGGTCATGTTTTCGGTCATATCGGGTTTACTGTGATTGTGGCCGTCGCAGGCACTATTAGGCGCAATTACGGGTAGCGGGTAAGGACGAAGGCGAAACTACTATTTCGAGGACGAAATCACATTTTCGGACCGTGATTTGAAACCCTGCCCAGAACCTTGCTTGTCGACTGAGTAAGCTGTGATGGACTGGCTTTTTGGAAGTGAGACTGTGATCATGTGTATGTTTCATTGCTAGAATCTCGAATTTGGTTACTGACAAAAGAAGAAAGGTACGGAAAATTTTATTCGTCTTTTTGTATCCTTTTCTAACCATATGCTTTCTTGTTTAAAATTATATTATAAGCAGATATATGCTGATTGTCTTTAACTCTATTATACCTTTACTTAGGCTTAACTTTGATTTCTCACTCTATAACCCTGGCTGCCTCGCTTTTAATTGGATCTTTTCATTCTCACTTGACCAATATTTCCTTTTATATTGACAAGTGGCGATACGTTATGACAGTGGCGATACGTAATGACAGTGGCTTGAGTAATGTGGAGCGAAAATGCACTTATATTATTTTACCTCATCTTGCTAAAATTTGGAATCCTTATCACTGTTTTTCTTTCTTCCAAAGTAACACGGCTTCTTCTCATTTCATGGTTGCTGAACTCTAAAATATTTACCTAAAGAAGTGACAAATTGTGAAATGATGCCTAGCGCTAGATATCTAACCTTTCTTATTCCCGTGTGGTTGGATTCTATATCCAAAGAACAGAAATGTCCTTCTAATAAACTCTACATGTAGTTGTATAATATTTGGTTTTGTAGAAATAAAATTTAACCTTCCAGCCAGGGATGGACCAAGGTGGACTGATGGGGGCGGTTGTCCCTACCTGAGATTTTCAAATTCTTATTTAAGTTTCACCCCTAACATAAAATCATGCGTCCCTACCTACGGGCCGGGGTGAGGTTAATTAAAGTAACTCCATTACTTTTGCGTGGTCTACTTCTGCAAACATAAGCATGGTACAATACAACTTTTATTGGGGAATCTTTACACAAAAGAACAGAGGGTTCTGGAAATGTTAGTGACGAGTGAACCTGATTGAGGGAGCAAAGTATCTTTCAATGATATTTCTTTGCTTTACAAAGGGTATAAAAAGCATAGACGTGTAGTAATAGACGTGTGTGCATGCATATTAGACATTAGTCTATGATAAAAGCTAGGAACCAATGACTTGTAAGGTGATATATCGATAATGGATCTGTGGCCTGGATCAGTTGGATAAGATATTGAAGCAATTATTGTGAGGAGGTTGAGAGACAATACTTATTGTATTGTCATCAAGCCATGATAAAGAACCCAACTGGCAGCAGTACTTTTCCGCCACTTATTTCTTGTTTGCGTCTCTGCAGATGTATTCGGTTTTGATCCTGTGGGCTTAATAGCCTTTTGGGTCTCTGTAGCTGTCTTTTAAGCTGCAACAGCCTGTTGGGTGAACTATGGGTGGCCTAGCATTGCCTTTCATTTCCCATTGAGGCAAAGCAGCTTGTAACTTGAACTATCAAAGGAAAACTACAGATAAAAAGGGTAAAACAGCTTATTTTAACGTTTTTTTTCATACCTTCGGCGAGCCTGGGAAATATCAT